CTCATCTGCAAAATGGTGACAGCAGTACTGCCAACCTCACAGGGATCCTGTGAGAACAACAAACTGCTTTGCAGTGTTCCTACATTAGGGAAATATTAGCTGAAGGATAGAGGAGCCCATCAACACTCTATGGCCTCCTCATATGTCAGAGAAGCACACAGGGCTTTTGGCATGCAAAGCAATTCTGTTCCTTCTCACTTGTAAATACTGTTGTTATGGATTATCAGCTAATCAAAAGAGCAAGATACAAGCCCAAGGTTTTGCCAGTAAAGGCTATGAAGCAAAAGCAGTTGTAATCTAGCTGTGATCACCAGATATTGGTCAGAGCAACAGAAGAAACACAACATCCACAGACACACAGCAGCAGATGAGATCAATTTATCAGCCAACGAACTCGATATAATTACCTCTAGCTATAAACATGCTGATTGAAGTACTATTTAAATCTAGTGAATTAGATATCATTTCACCAGGAGGAACAATCTTTGCTCTGGTACTCTACTGTGGACTGACAGGAAGGTAGGGAACCAAACATGCAACTGGGGAAAGACCTATGATCATTTTACCTAAACCAGCATTGACCTGGCTTCCTCAGATCAACAGTCACCTTCACGTTACTTAGAACTGAATCTACTTACTTACAAACGATTATATTTCATTTTGTACTTCCTTGTCTCAAATCAGAACACAACCACTATACCAATACAAGTTATAAAAATATACTGCTTACAGTTATATGTGTAAGATCAAATTGAAAGGGGAGGAGGGGAGTGCAGGACAAACGAATCTAATGAAATCACATCAGAGTACATTTGGGTCACAAAGCATTTAAGGGGGGGGGGAAATGGTGCAAAATGATCCTTCAAACTAAGCAGTAGCTCTAGTAAGTCAGTCATACAGCAAAGGCTCGATGCTCAATATTAGCTTTATAGGGAAGAAAAATATTTTTATGACATGGAAATTATAGTGAAGGTCGCAGATGACACAAGTCCCTCAGAAACATTGCATTTTCAAAGCAGTTTCAAACATCCTCTTGGAAGGAACAGTTTTATATGAAAATATCCCCAAGCCGCTCAGACCCCATAGTACTCTCCATGTCTTGGAACATACATGGAAAAAACACAGGCATCTCTACAAGGTATCCCTGAAAACAGGGAACACAGGAGGGGCAGCTTTACAGAAAGACACCATCAGGTTCCCCATTTCTTTACCCTTCAGCCTATGCTGTGGCAGGAGGAAGGGCAGACATAATAAATATGGGAATCCCCCAAAGAACTAAGAAAGTCTTTTCTGAAAATACTGCGTACACAAGATTATATCCTACTCCTGTCCCCCCTGGTGGTTACAGTCCTGATTACACAGGCATGCCTTATCACTGAAGACAGACAATTAAATATGGGAATGGCTGTCAGTAAATGGGCTGTGTTCTTGTGAAACCATTTCACCATTCTTTCACACACAGGAAAATATTTAGCAAGAGGTGTGCAAACTGTACAGATGCAAAGAGTGCGATTGAAAGGTGGGTATCATCTGCTGAAAGCAGATCTAGTCAAAAGGATTCAGCATGAAAAATATTTCCTTTGTCCTCCAGACTTAGAATTTTCTTCCTCTGGCCTTAAAATGTTTGTTACTTTTATTCTGGAATTTTGACTGTTTTCTATTCACACTTCCAAAAACAAACTGTCAAATGCAGTCCCATATTTACAGTATTTCTCAGAAAAACCTACTGACCACAGCGAAACATTCCCGTTTGCTCACTTAGACCAAAGAGCTTGAGCCTTTGGAAAATACAGCAAAGAATAAAACATTCAGCCATTAAAACCCACTTACCCAGTTAGTTTCTCTCTAATAGTTCTTCAAGAGCCTCTCTTCAGTGACATGAGAAACTGCCATATCTGGAAAGTGGTCTGTCTGCAGAGAAAATACTTTCCAACTGCTTTGATGTGTCCTGGTGAGACTCTACATTACGCTAGAAGACCTGGGGACATACACTGCAGTAATGTAAGGGTTGAAATTTGTCCTCATATTTTTGTACCACTAAAATCCTGCATAATCCTCATTTTGAAGACTTAAGTGAGACTTAAGCAGTGCATAGCCTCATACCAGGTCTTCTTTGTATTGGCACAAATATCACCCAGGCAAGACAATATTTGCTCAGGTGCAGTACCTTGGGTAAGAGTTAATCCCTTTCATTTCTGACACAATAGTTATTATGTACAATAACTAATAAAAGCCACTCTTGAGATCGACAACCTACACATTTTCAATTTCCTCTCCAGTACTCTAGCCTTTCATAAGCTCCTTTGATCCTGTATAGGTGTCAATCTTTGCATGCATATAGGTCACAAGAAAGTTCATCTTATGTTAATAGCCCAGTCACCTTCAGATGCATTGATTTTAAGCCGTTTCCATTTCCAAATTACAATTTTATCATTTTATTTCAGTCACTCCATCATTCTCAAAGACACAAAGCTACAGGGACTGTGATTTTGCTTAGACTGTTTATTAAAGAGGAAAAAGTCAAGTCAAATATCAAAGCTTCCTTCTTGCCTGGCCAGTTGGAGACACGTGCGCACACTGTACTCTTCCCTCTCAAGGGAAAGGTGAGCTGTGTAAGGCTGGGTTTACTGGGGCTCCAAAAGCAGAAGCAGTATTTCTGAGACAGTGATTGGACAGTAATCACACAAAACACAGAACTGAATCAGGTGGGCTCAGGATGCTAATGAAATCTGCATTGAGGACTTCTGAGTAAAGGCAGAGGGCTGCCTGATGCACGCACCCCTAGAAGAGCTCTGATGAAGTCAAGTGGCTGCCTTGGGTTTCTGCACAGAGCACAGCTGTACCCTCTTCTTTCTCCAGCCCCAGAGGCCGAGCACAGCGCTTCATAAGGGGTCAAGCTGGACACTGCTGAAGCCTGGACTCCCCCTCCCAAAGTAAGATACCCTCAATAGTTTTTCCCCTTTTTCCCCAAACCACCAGTACTAGATCAGTGCATTGAAAGTCCTCCCTTCTTTGCTGTTTCAAGCAGGACCAGATACTTCCAGGGACAGCATGCAAGGCAAGAGGAACTGGATTTAATCTTTCCTGGGAAGGCAAACCTTATAGAAATGTTTGTTTTCACTCTGCTGCTTGACATTCCAGCTAGTGGGATGCTTCAAGAACTTGTTCCAATGGCTTGTTTCTCCTGCTCCCTCCCATGGCAAATTGAAATCAATATTTTTAGATTCTTGTCATTCCCTTAAAGGCTCATTCTCTCTCTCCCCGCCTCCCTTTCCGAGGTCACACAAACTTTGCTTTGGACTCCAAACTATTAATTTTTCACATTACTCATTTTAGGTGTCTGAAAAGTTTCTTACTCATCGGCCCATAGAAGGAAGAGTTCTTTTCTTTTTTCTTTTTTCTTTTTTTTTTTAAGAAAAAGAAGAGATATGTACTCAGCAACAGAAATGAAGTCTCCATGCCATCACAACAAGATGTCTTCCAAGTCTGATTTGCAGTCCCCCCTCTTGGCACACATTTGCTGCCTTTGCTTCACACTCACTCAGGGCCCTTTATTTCTGCAGGCACAGAAAAAAATGTGCCAATTGAGGAAATCTGGGGTGTCTTTTCAGCCAGATAAAGTAATTGTAGGGAATCGTAATGAAGTTGAACTAATTTCCCACAGGCCACCAAACACTGTGCCATATGTTAATGACTTTTGGTAGCCATGAGCTTAAACTACACTCTCAACTAGAGCTTAAAAGCTTCACAGCCCAGTGTCAGCCTCCAGAGCTCAGCAAGGACTCCTGTCAGCAATGCCTGGAAAAGAGATGAGCATGTAACACAGGAAGTGGCTTGTGAAGCAAGAAGCAGCCTTCCTCATTTACCAAAAGTTCCTTTTTCTACTCAACTCCTCTCCCGGACTCATTTGGACTAGCAGAAAAATATACCAGTGCAGCCCTACCTGTCAGCAAGGAAGAATGTTTGTGCATCTGATTCCTCTATGTACCAGAGCTTTGCTCTTGGATCTCCTGATGTTACCGCAGCTGTTTGTTTAACAGAAACCCATAAAATTCTTGAGGTTGCCATATTGCCCTTTTCTCCTGTCCACACCCAGGACCTCCTCATCTTCTTACATACAGTAAACAATCCCCCCGCAGGGTCCACATTTATTGTGGTAACTAACAAGCCCATTAAAACTTCAGCTCTGACGCACACTATACTGCAAGCTTCAGTGCACTGCTGCCAGGTAAGACTTTGCTGAAGCATTCAGGCTTTACCAATAAAATAATATTTGTGTTCTCACAACCACCTACTGAAGTCTCCCAGAATGCGACAGGAAGAGCTGCAATGTATTTTTAAGACAGAAAAGGAAAAAAAAAAAAAAAGAGAAAATATTTCTCCCCACGGAGACTTCACCAAGTGTAAGCTTCTGTAGACAGGGTGGAAAGCATTTTGTAAAAGCACAAAGCAGATGATGTCACTAAGCAAGTTCTGTCCAGCTCACCTATATAATTCCTCCGGTTCAGAACAAATCAGATGCAAATAGCACCATAATCAAGTATTTCTGGTTTGGCCCCTGGGTGGACAGAATACATCTGAAATCCAGACGATCTGCATTTTTTACATCAGCCAGGATCACATACAGAGCAAAACAAAGCAATTTGCAAATGCCCCTATCTAGACTTCGGGTCTGAAAAAAATGCTGAGCTGCTGCTGCTGCTAAGACTCTTAAGCCAGCAAAGAAGGTGTTTACTTGCTGCACTGCTTCATGCCCACCTGGGAAAATGTCCTATGCAATTGCTTTTACATTCATTACGTCTGTGTGAGGTGTGAATTCCAATTCCACACACACATACTGTGGACAATTGAGAATATATTCTGTGACAGACTATATTAGGCACAGTTTCTACATTCAGTTTACTCTAAAGCTGGGACTACCTTATAATAAATATGGTCTATGTTTACACAAATGCATTGGCATACACAGCCAAAAGAAAGAGAATGAAGATACTAATCAATCTGTATTAACAACCTTTGTTTTAATAATACAAATATCTGAAGGCATTTCTTTGTACAAACCTTTCTGTAAGTCCACAGCTTATTTCCCAATCAAAGACAATATGTTGCCCATGCAACAGCAATAAAGCTGTCATACCGCCTTTGGCTGTAACTTGCAATCTGTCCGTATCCAATACTTCACTGAAAAAGAAAAGGTGCAGGCCCTAAATCTGGTTGACTTGACTGGCAAAGGGCTGTGCTACCTAAAGTTCAGCTCACTTTTTTCTTGGCAAAAGCATTTAAATCCTCTAATGTAGATTTATGTCATTTTGTCTGGACACCTTGCCCACAGAGGCTTCAGAAATTAATCATGCTTCTTCCACAATCATGGAAACAACCCAGAGTTAGCATGAAACTACTTTTCAATTTTTTTTCCCCTCATTTTTTCCCACTTCTTACCTCTCCCTCAGAATGCCTGTCTTGGCTGAAAATAACACGTACTACATTTTACTCTTATGGAGAATTTTATCTGTGATAGTTAACAAGAGTCTGCAAATAATTAAGACTGTATCATCCTTAACGTTTCTTACATTCTTTTACAGACTTTGCTGCTGTTTGGACACCTGCAAATTCAATAGCTTTAGAGAAATTTTCCTATTTCACAATTTCACAGAGTTCCAGACTTGTGATTCACTTTAGAGATAAACGGCCAGCAATAAACAACTCTTTTTTTTTCAACTAAGTTTCATGTTTCATTAGAAGATGCGAAACCCCTTGACAAACAGGAACTGAAAAAGAAAATATTGGAGCAGGGAGCTGTGTATGTAAGATGTCAGTTTAACATACGCAGAAAGAAAGATATTTTATAAACCTATTAGTAAAAATTATTCCCAAGCCAAACCAAGGTCAACTGAATATTTCTGTTCTACTTTAAACAATATTAGTTTCACAACTAATTATCTCACAATTACTATTTTTCCTTGATGAACTCTGTGCTGCCTCAGCCTAATGAAAGTGCTGCAAGGTAATACAGTGGTTACATGACAATGCAAATAGGACCCACTCAATTTGCACAAAAAAAGGTTGCAAGGAGCAATTAGCACTTCATTAATATGATATAAAATGATAATTTACCATATATCCCAAGTGACTCAAAACTTCTTTCCATCCATATGTGCAAATAATAGATAATATGATGCGGTGTGTGTGAACCAGGTTCATGGTGCATTAGCTGGAATCCCTGTGTCAGTTTGCACTATAATAGCTATTAGTTAATATGAACAGTAGCTCAAATTTAACCTATGACAGCAGTGTTAAATGATAAAAGGATCTGTTGGCAGCGATATCTCACAATTCCACCCTTGTAAAGTTCTCCCTTCTTTGCTATCCAGAATGAAGTATTGGAAACTGACTTCTAATCTAATTTATAAAGCAGATTGAAATGAAGTGCTGGTAGCACTCGGCTCAGCTGCTCAGCATTTTGAGAAGCAAGATCATTCCTGGTGAATCACACAGCTCAGGCATTCAAGCACGCACTGGCAGCTTCTAATGATCAAAGTATTTGACTTAAATAATTGATTTATTTATACTAGCAAAGAAGCTCCAGGGGGTTGTGAATATTATGAGATATAATCACACCACTAGGGAATTAGAGACACTCAGATGTGCCTTGTGCCTGCTAATGCCCTGCGGGTGTGATTAGGATATCACACATCAAAGGAATTTGCTCGAAAATTTTTCATATAATAAATTAATAAAAATAATTTATTTAAATAATTCCACTGATTTAATGGGACAGATCTGATGCAAGATGCAGTATGCAGAGAACTACAATGAAGTGTGTTGATCTAGGACGGTACAGAAGCCCTGACAATCTTCAGTTAACGCCCAAGTACCAAGTTCCTCTGGCTAGCAGGTCCCCATGAGGTATTTGCATCATCTCAAAGCTGACTGTCTGTGATGAGCATTCCCAGAGATTTTAGCCAACCTGCACTGTCTGAAGTGGAGTAAAACAGTGCTCCTTCAACAAATCCTTTCAGGAAGGGAAATGATTAACAGTGACATACAAGGCAGTACAGCATGCTGGCAAAGGAAGACAAAGCAATGGCTGCAATACCTCATGGTGAGGCTCTTCTGGTCAGATTGTTTATTCAAGTATTTTAACAGCTACTTTAATGGTACACATGGCTTGACCATTGCAGACTACAAGTATTTTACAGTCTTTAATGCACTTCTCACCATAAAAGGGTCATAGGGAAGTGTTCTCATTTTAGCTGTACTCATAAGATACTGAGTTACATGGAGACCAACTAACTTGCTCAAAAGCACCCTGACAGTCTGTGCAGATCAGGGGATTAAACTTGTACTGACTTTCTGCGGTATGCTTCTGTTCCAGAAATCCACTAGCTTTTCAACAAGGATATTACAGCAGCAGGCAATTAAAATCATGTTGGCTTTAACCTGTCGTGCTGCAAGGGAAGTATATAGATGTTCCACTTCCAGAAGTACAATACTTTCCTGTTCTATATTGCATGACCTTTAGGGGAGCATTTATGGCAGTGACAGGAAAAACAAGGACATCCTTTCAGAGAATATACATGTGTAACCCATGTAGATCTTTTCAGACCCATAGAAAGACATGAAGACGGAAAGCAGTATTTGGGGACAACTTGTGCCTTGGACAAAGTAGTACTCCAGGTGCAAAACATGATGGCTGTCCTTGAGTTGCAGAAAGAATGAGCAAATAAGACTTTTTGAACCCGTATCAACTCCCCTGGGGTCAGGCCTAGTCTGTCTTACATTACTTTTGTACCCTCCTAAGATGTTACAAAAGAACTCCAGAACTGCAATGCTGTTTAAACAAGTCACGCAAGTTCTGAGTAAAGAAATCATCAGCAATTATAAATTCCTGCAAAAGCACCAACTCTATCACTAAAATTAGAAAGGGAGAGGCTTCAAGGGATTTGTTCTTACCTATGGGAAAAGCCTGAGACAGCATTCAACTTTTCCACATCTTCATTCTCACCCTTGTGTATCTGCTTTGATTTTGGAACAACAAGCATTGTGTGTGCTGGCCCATTATCAATTTATAGAATCATAGAATCACAGAATCATAGAATAGTTAGGGTTGGAAAGGACCTTAAGATCATCTAGTTCCAGCCCCTCTGACATGGGCAGGGACACCTCCCACTAAATCATGCCACCCAAGGCTCTGTGTTATGGCACAGATTGAGCTTCATATCACAAATCAAATGTCCACTGTATAATACATGTTTTTATTGCAACTGTCAGATCTGAAATCAATTTCAAATGCACCCAAAATTCAGTCTTTAGAGACTCAGTGAGTTTAAAAAAAAAACTCTGCTGTCTTCGAATTTCAGGATTTGAATTGAGCCTGGAGTCATGCAGTCGACTACCAATTAACCTGACAGAGCTACATGTAGCATGCTGGGTTGAAAATAAATGTGCACATTTTTTTATGTTTATAATCTCTTTCACTTTCTTTACCTCATTTTCCCAACATGCACATAACAAATTCAGTCTGTCCTACAGATACAGTTTCACTAGAGTGCACCACAAGGGGACATTTTTCTCCCCAGCACTAGAAGATGAAGCACTGTTCATTTGACGGGATGTGGCAGAGGCTCTGTGAGGGTGCAGCCCCCACATTTAGGAAAGGCTGAACCTGCCCATACGGTCTTGTAACATGATGTGTATTTGTTTTGTACTACTTACATCTGTCTTCTGCCTGGGCTCTTCCGTACCAATTTGCCCTTGTAGAACTGAGTTGAATATAATTACCATGAGGAATCAGAAAATGTTGGAAACAGCCTTCATATCTAGGCCCACCTTTAAAAAAGAAGTCAAAGCATCAGCAAATCCCTGAGATATCCATTATTGTTAAAGACAGAATTACATCACAAACTCTGATCCCAGTTTCAAATTCTTCCTGTTTTCTGTGATTGCCAACTTGAGCTTTGACTGCTATCGGATCTGAGGGAGTCCTGTGCTGACTGGGAAATCTCAGATGTGATCCCAGGTAATATTATAACACAGTTTAGGAATTCTGATCCTAATGATATCTCAATATGTATCCCACAGTATGACTGCCTGTTAGTTAAAACTGAAAATACCAGCAGTCTATCCTTGAAGCACACTGTCAAGTTTGCAGGAAGGCAGTGAAGATCAAGGATTAACAACACTGACTCTCAGAACTGAGGGTTTTTTTTTTAAACAGTGTCTGCTTTGTTATCTACATCAGCCTGACCTGTGTGTTACTCTCAAGGATAATAACAGCTACACCACCTTGAGCAAACCAACTGCTTAGGAGCCCAGAGAAGTGAATCACCAAGAGAACGCTCACACCAGAAAGCAGCCTCTGAGGGTTTCAGCAGTGAAAATACCTATTCTTGACTGGAGACAAAACTAGAGCGTCAAGGAACATAAAAATATTAAAAGCTGAATATGCTTGAATTTTCCATGTTTACTTATAACTGCAAATATTATTTATAACTATGGTCCATGAGGGACCATAAAATTCTCTCTCTCTGCATAGAACACTGCCTTTTGCTTTAGCTGAAGTGGGAGGCGGATAGCATTTCTCAAAACCAAACCTCAGCAGAACAATAAGCAACACCGAGGGGCCTGGCGTCTACTATTAACGTAACAACAGCATGCTGACTGGCAAGCCGTGGCTGAACTCAGAGGAAGGAATATAACTGCATGCAAATACAGCTGTATGAATCACAGGACAAAGGTACCTATACAGGAGCTTTCATGAGCAGGACCTGGCCTTAAAGGCTTGGCTGTAGTGAATCAAGGGTGGTAGTAACTAACACACGGCTCTGATGAGCCAGACCACAGCCAATAGCCTGGGAGCCAAGCAGAACATCAATGCTTGGGGTGGTAGTGGCTCGTCTTCACAAGGATACAAAGGTGTCATACTTGCACAAGCTGAGTCTCCAACTTGCCTCCGTCCTCATCCTCCATTGCAGGAATTCAGTCTTACGGTAACAGAGCCATGAATCGCCATGCCAGATCACATGTAAGTGGCAAATGCAAAGTAAAAAAAAAAAAACAACAAAAAAAAAAAGAAACAAAAGCCTAGATTTGGTAAAGAAACAGTTCAGGGCATGAAAAACCAACAATAGACTCGGCAAGGGCAGTGAGCTTTGTTAATGAAAAGTAGGGGCAGCTCTTCTGTGATGAACTGCCTTCCCTTCTGCAGAAAGTCAGCCTTCCTGACAGCCGCTCTCACTGCCCAAATTCAGTTAAAACCCACTCTCCTTCATCCCACTGGTTGTGTCCCAGGCATTGTGAAATCAGTGCTTGTTGCATTTGCAGCTGTAGGAAGTCAGACAGAAGCCTTAGAGCCACCAGCACACTGCTGGCAATGGAGCCTGGCAGCCCTATCACCAGCTAGGGCCTTCGGCATGCAAAAAAACAGTTACATAAACCACATACAGGGTGATCAGCAACAGACCTACCTGCTCAGTCTGCTGGGAAAGGAAATTCCCTCTTTTTGAGCTGGATATTAAAGCAATACTCTTCTCCAAAAAATACCTGATGGAACATGGCATCCTCCACCTGAGCCAGCCAAGCTCCTCAGCAAAGGTTTTAGATCTAGGACTTAAGTTACATGACTGAACCCACACTTAACGCCCCTGAAAAAAGAGAGAAGGACTTTAAGGGGCACTGACTGCTCAGCAGCTCTGAAAGATGAGTGAAATGAGAGACAGAAGCACCAGTGTAAGGCATGGGAGCTCAAAAATATCACTCCAGGTACTGATTTGTGTGGCTACTCCTAGCCATGGAGGGAGACATGCTACCTTGCATGGCTGCCTGCTCTATACTCCTCCTCCCCACTCTGTGGGCCAGTGAGCCCTTCATTTTGAGTAGAGGTTATGTGAATTGAATAAGCAAAACGTTAACTGCAGGGCCAAATTCAGTCCTTGGTTTATGCTTGTAAAGATACAGCCAAAACCATCCAGGGAGGAACCCAATGACACACTTCCACATGAGGTATAAAGAACATTACTTATCTTTTTAGGGCTTTACCCTGTTCCTGATAAAATCAGTAGGAAATTTGTCTTTTGTTTCAAAGGAAGTAGAAAGGTGTGCTATAAATTTTAAGCAGAGTTTGCAAGGTGTTGTTTTTTTAAATCTTGCCTTTTTCAATAAACTTACAAAATGAGAAAAACTTCTTTGCAACCAATAAAAAGACAACAACATTACCTCTTAGGAGCCATTGTACATCACAGAAGCACTGTTTTTTAAAGGGCATTCCCCTTTTGATGAAGAACTGTAATGATTTCTAGTAAAATGTTTAAATCTAACTCCTCATTACTCCAAGTTCCCTACCCCCCTGACAGCCTGACAGCCTTGGAGCCTGTGAAAGGAGGAATGTAATGAGTATACATTAACGTTATATACTTTCCACAGTTCTTGTTCTGGTGTGACCAGATTTATGCATGGAGTAGTTTGAATGCAATCCATCACGATTATACATAGCATTGGCTTCAACATTTCTGCAGGTAGCACCATCTCCAAACTTTCTCAGCTGCGGCTGTATGAAAGGAACTGAGATGTGGTGACACAATGTTCATTTGTTTTGGTGGCAAGACTCAATTAAAACAACATAACAGGGTTTAAAAAAATACTAATCTGTGAAAAAATGTGAAAGTGAGTTAAGTAAAACCTTCAAATATTCCCTTGTTCAGGACAAGCTGTGTGGGCTGACAGCCTCTCCCAAGGGAGCAAGGGGTCTTAGAAAAAGCTCTGCTACGAAAGGACTGGCTGTTAAGGCAAATCCCCACCAGTCGGAGCCTTGAGGAGGGTAAAGCACAGCTATTGATGCCCAGACACAGAGAAGACATTGTAAAGGAAATATGGGGGATGAGAATGGCAGTGGAGGAAACGAAATAGGGACTGCCTCCCACACAGGGGAACAACAAACCTGTGAAAATAAGAAACTGCTTTTTCACTAGACAGATTTTCAAGGAAGAAAGACATGTCCCATGGCTTTCAAAATGCCACCTGAGCCATTGGGGGACTCCATGCTGCCACAGCTTGAGTCATGAGGGCATACAAGGCAGGTTATTAAAAGTCAAACAGAAATAAAAGGAGGCTTCTTTGCAAGTAAAATTCATTTCAATTGCTGCTGTGTTCAGTGGGGACAAAAAGAAATAAAGTGACCTCAAGTATTGCTGACTCCCCATTTTCATCCTGTGTTCTGCAATAGCCAGTGCTGTTCCCAGAGTGCAAGAATCCTCAGGCCTTGTCAGCAGAGCTCTCACTTTTTCAAAAAAGATTGCAGCCCAACAAAGTCACGTTTTAAAGCCTTTTCTTTCACACACAAGCTATAATCAAGAATGTAATGCAAACCCTTAGAAATAAAGTCATTTTACACAGTCTCAATTGGGAGTGGGCAAGAGAGAGGAAGAAGACCCATGCAAGGAACTTAAGAGTCTTTGGAGCAAAGAGTAACTTCACAGAGCTAGGATTGCTACAGGGAAGAAAAGCTCTCTTGTTGGTATCCATTGTCCAGAGCCATAAATGGACTGCAACTGAAGTCAATAATAATAATAAAAATCATTTCCACTCGGAAAGTGCTTTTCACTGAAGAACTTTAAAGTAATTTACATATGCCACTACACTTCTCGATTTAGTTACTCCTATTGCTGGTTTATGGCATGCTGTAGAGGAGCCCCGAAAGCCAAAAAGCTATGCACCAGGACAGTCAGCTAACAGGACCACAAAAAAGTCCCCAGCATATCTGTACAGGCAATGCTGGTAAGCGATATGACTACAATGACCAAAGACAAAAGAAAAGCATTTAAGACAGATTCAAAACTAAAGAAAGACAAGGAGTTTCCTTATTTAGTACTGTAATGTTGCATCTCTAAGTTTCTTGTACTGCTCCCAAGTTCTTCTAATACATGAGCTGTGAGAGAACAAATTGCTGAAGAGCTACACATGAAAGAATATGTCCCATGTGTGAGGCTGGATTTACTTCCCCAGAACTTTACTCCCCCATAACCTTTTTCCATGAAATAAATCCACGAAGGGAGAGGAATCTATTTGCAACTGCCATTCTTCACAGTGAATTGCCCAAGATGGAAGTTATTCCCACAAAGTAAGCGGGGTATTTAGCTGTTGAAGTATAATTAAAAGACATCTGTACGGTTCTTGGAGTTCTTAAAGAGAAGATGTGGCCAGCAAGACTTGAGACAGCCCATTAGCATCCTGGTCTGCTCATGACATGAACTTTCTTGCATACCCCATGGCAGTTCCCATTAACAGCAGCGTTACATTTGTTTAAATTTGCATTAACGGTAATGCTTTGTTTTTTAAAAGGCAAAACCATCCCAGCAATTACTTTACTAGATCAAGTATCTCTGCTTTAATTTAAAGAAAACAGAAGGAGCTGTTTCTGGTGTGTGTGGAGTGCTTCAGGAACTACATTGAGCTATAAACATTGAATCTACCAAAGAGGTTGAAGGCTGCTCACAGGCCTAAGACAATGCCAACAGGGCACTCACAGGGAGGTGACAGTTGAATAGCCCTATGACCCTACAGTATCCCAGACCAGACAGCCCTGCCCTAACCTTCTGGTGTTCTCCAGAGAGTGTGTGAGAAGAGATTGAAACAAGGGGGCACAAAATCACAAAATGGAATATAGAAACCTTTAGAATTAGATTTAAGTAATGCTAAGTTTGATGGCTTTGTAACAGTAGCAATGGAAAATTACTGAGGTGCATGATACATAGAGAAAAAAAATAGAGTACAGCTAGAGAACATACTGAGAATTCTCACAAGATAAATCGTTGTAGTTGACATATAGTTGAC